TGTAACCTGCTTCAGTCGTTGCGTATTACTGTGCGCAATTATCGTGCCAAACATCGCTAATTTTTACATGGAGAAGGGGATCGAACTAAAAAAATATGCATGCTTGCTTTGATAAATATAGGTCAATATTTAGCGGGTCAGATGGACCCTGATTTTTGTGTGAAAATTACAACATTTGTATTCTATGGCGTATAAACTCCTGAAGGACATAAACGCGAGAAATTGATAGTATATCCAAGAGGAGTAGATAGCCTTTAAATTGATACCAATAACATTGTAGTATGTACTCCGATGTGGGAGTTGCACTTAAATAATTACATGTGCTTACGTACTCAGATATTATTTAGTAACACATTACCACACTAGAGGCGGAAATATAAGCGCAGATCGCCTTGAAATTTTCCATGAGGATCCAGGTATGGTCAAGGGTAACGCCAACAATATTCGGTGATGATAAGATAATAATATTGGGATGCAGTGGACCGAAAACCTAAATTTTTTGTGTGTGTTTTCTTTTGAATCGATCTATAGGCCACAATTGAAAGCCGAACATCACAACACACCATACTGTGAAGGGAATCTGGACAAGTAATTAGAAGAGTTGTACTGGATATTAGCAATATTGTAACCATGGCGTCCAACAATGGCTCACAATATGATTTATAAATTAATTAAAAAATATAGTCGAATATATTTGTATTTTTTTAATCCCAGCTCTATCAGTTTACCCAAAATTCAAATTGTACTAAATTTAGTACAATTTACATTCTTACATACATACAATTTACATTCTTATATACATACAATTTACATCCATCCTACACTCCAACATTAACCTTATTTTCAGTGTTCCAGCTCTATCGGTTCACCCAAATTCACATTTGGTACAATTTTGTACACATTATAACAAATTTCCGAAGCTTTCTACATGTCCTCATCCTACACACCAACAATGATCTTATCTCCAAATTTCAGGATCCCAACTCTATTGGTTCACCTATATCCGAATTGTACCAATTATTGTACGTTTTAGTAATTTTTCGTAAACATAAGTAAACAATTTCCAAAACCACGTACATATCTCAATCCTACACTCCGACGGTAATGTTAATTTCAAATTTTGCGATTCCAGCTCCATTTGTACCTTCAAATTAAATTTGTACCAAATATAATACCATATACTGTACTTTTTTTTACTTTTTTTTATATACATCGACCCTACTTCTCAACCTTAATTCGCATTCCAAATTTTACTTCTCAACCTTACTTCGCATTCCAAATTTTAAGTTCTGTACTAAATTTAGCACATTTTAGTACTTTTCGGATACTTATAGTTTTGGTACTTTTCGAATACTTATTGTTCACCAAATACAAATGGTACCACATATAGCACACTCTAGTACTTTTCGTGCCGTTCTAGTACGAATTTCCAAAAACCCAGCCTTATCTGTCACCTTCGGACCAAGAGTGACCCTCACCCAAAATTACTTTTTATCTTTTATTAGTATAGATTGTAGGTTATGTTTGAGATGACATGTCTTCAGTCAAAACAAATCAGGAATATTTTTGTAAACCATATCCTACTTCCATGTCAAGTCCTTGTGCGTCTTTTTCGTCCATATTTTCTTGAACCGTAATCTAAATACCAACAGATACAAATCATTAGATGTTCAATAGGGTCCCCAAAAATATGTTTGCATCGTTCTTCACAATTGTTTCTTGATCTTTGGTCAAAAAAATCATGGGTAAAAAATTTGACCTATGTTGAATTTGTACATACTTAACAAATTCGCAAAAGACTTTCTTCCCCACAAGGAAGGCCAAAAAATTTTGTTGAATAAATATTCGCATTTCCATTATTGAGACAAAACTTGATTTGAACCACGGTGCGATGAGAAATCTTTTAAAACCAAAAAATTTTTTTGAATAAATATTCGCATTTACATTATTGAGACAAAACTTGATTTGATTACATTGACCATAAACTTTACCCGAATGACATAATACCCTGTACCACGGTGCGATGAGAAATCTTTAAGAACCAAAAAATTTTTTTGAATAAATATTCGCATTTACATTATTGAGACAAAACTTGATTTGATTACATTGACCATAAACTTTACCCGAATGACATAATACCCTGTACCACGGTGCGATGAGACACCTACAAATTTTTTTTGAATAAATATTCGCATTTCCATTATTGAGACAAAACTTGATTTGAACCACGGTGCGATGAGAAATCTTTTAGAACCAAAAAATTTTTTTGAATAAATATTCGCATTTACATTATTGAGACAAAACTTGATTTGATTACATTGACCATAAACTTTACCCGAATGACATAATACCCTGTACCACGGTGCGATGAGAAATCTTTAAGAACCAAAAAATTTTTTTGAATAAATATTCGCATTTACATTATTGAGACAAAACTTGATTTGATTACTTTGACCATAAACTTTACCCGAATGACATAATACCCTGTACCACGGTGCGATGAGGAGTCTAAAAACTTGTGTGTGGTCTTCTTCGCTTATCCCCAGCTCTCATTATAGTTTAATGCAAAAATAAAAAAAAAAAACACAACAAAAACTCGCTCTTCCTCTCTGTAATAGCTCGACTTACTACTGATAACCAAGGCAATGTGTATCTGTGACCACAAATGTTCTACGAGTATGACGAATGTTTTCTTCGATATCAGCTTTTGTATTTTGCACAAAACCAGAAATAAAAAACTGATACCGATTCGAGTGACTTCAAGCCACGCAGTATTGAAATAAACTTTGAAATGTCAAGAATTGTTTACTGGTGAAAAGAAAAAATAAAAAGAAAAAACAAATTATGGAACTCAAAAAATTATTTCCAATATTTTTAGTAGTGACCCTGCTAAACATCGTAATAATAACCGGTGCCATTGAAATCGATTTAAATAACGCATTCCATAAGGAAATTCTTCGCCGAAGTAAAGCTTCAGCTATAAAATCTTGGATAGATCCGGAGGTCGAACCCTGTAATAATTTTTATAATTTTGCGTGTGGCAAATGGTCGAGAATAAATCGAGCCGATAATCATGACAATTATCGTACGGATAAATTTATAAATCTGTCAAAGGGTATACATCAAAGGGTGTATAATCTGCTGAATAATCGTAGTGAGGCGAGCCATGATCCGATTAAGGATAAATTGCAGAATTTTTATAGATCCTGTATGGAATTGAACTCCCATTCCGCAAAATATAAAGTGGCAATGCGAAGGGTTTATGCGGATTATGGGGAATTTTCATTTCTTCATAATAACGGATCGAGAAAGACGCACGATGAACCTCTGGATGTGTGGTCTATGGTTGCTGAATTGAAGCAGTTATATGGCAAATCCATATTCTTGTCCGTCGATGTGAAAAAGGATTATTTCAATCATACTCTAACAAGTGTCTATATAAGTCCTCAGGATCCCGTGGAGAACTTGGAAGAAAGACAAGAAGAAATAGCTTGGTATTTGAGTAAAATTTTCTATCTCAGCCCTGATAAAGTGGCGGATATCAGTTCAACAATCGCGCAATTGGATACGGAGTTAAGTCTAGAGCCTGTGGATATGGATGGCGAAGAAGAAAGCGATACCCGGATACCGGAGATATTGCAGTCAAACTTAAATCATATGCCCTAGATCACTTGCATGAAAAATATCCGCGCTTTGATGTCAAATCATTTTTGGCAACTGCCCTCAACGTGACCACCTCCGAACTGCCCGAACATATTTACATCTATGATGAAGGGACTTTTTCAAATATTTTGCAATTGGTCGAAACGACAGATGAGGATATTCTAAGGGACTACATGCTGTGGCAATTAATGGAGGAATATTTAGTTGTCACCTCGACTATGAAACCAGCCGATCGTGAGGAGTTCTGCACCGAACAGGCGAAAAAATATTTTGGTGAATATATAGATCATGTCGTTTATGGGGAATATCGTTTGGACACCTACGAACAGGAGTTAGTCGAATTATGGCAACAAATAAGGTCAAGCTTCAGGAAAGCTCTTGAAACGAATAGTTATCCCTGGATGACGGAACCCGTAAAAACGGAAGCCCTCAATAAATTAAACAATATGAAATTGCGAATTAATTCCTACGATCACATTGATTTTCCCAAATATTTCCAATCGCTGGAAATCCAATCCCACAATTATGTGGAAAATATACAAAATATTTTACTCAATCGTCAAATCCAAGTGACGAATAAGCTACAAGCTGCAGCCGAATCATTGGACACCACACAATTGTTCTCCTTCACCCCGGTCTATATAAGTTCCCAAAACACCATCATAATCCCCGTCAGCCTTTTGCAACCCTTCTACTTTTGGCATCCCGTCTATCCGAAAACCATAAAATTTGCCACTCTAGGCACTCTGGTGGAGTGAGTGTAAAAAGTATTTTGCCTCAATAAAAATTTGAAAAAATTCCAATATATACGCCTAACCAGCAAACTAAAGATGTAAAATGACTTATGTATGATGGAGTACATTTGTGGATATTTAGATCGTATTTCTGCAAGAATCACAGCGAAAGTCCATTACATCGGCCGAAATCACGGCATTTTTTCGTTGTTACATTGAACACGTTTGTATTTTCTCACATTTACATTCAATACATTCTCCATCAGTATTTCATTTAATATTTAGTATTTTCTCGTCCTAATCTTAAGATGAGAGTATTAAACATAGTCATTGCGGCTTCAAAAGTTTAGAATAATAAAGAAGAGGTTTTGCAAAATATAACGCGAGGACAGAACCTTAAAAACTATAAAAACCAAAATCCGACAAACAAATTATTTAAAAAAAAATTCGCGAAACCCAATTTTTCTGACTTCGAAATTTGTATGGTCCAGTAATATTGATCTAGGAACCAATATATGCAATGTAAATACCAATAAGGGGGTCAGATTCAAAGATATGAACAGTTCTAAATCAATAGTAATAAAAACCAATACATGAAGTTGGGAGAAAACATCATTATTCGTCAAATCCTATTGTCTTTTGAAAAACTGTGGTTGCTGGTGGCGAATACGCATTCTATATTTTATCTCCGATTAACACCATCAGTTGCGAATAAAATGCAGTAGGGAATAAACGGGTCGATGTATTTATTTTCGAAATAAGATGTATTTCTATTGCCAGAAAACCGTCCATATATTTGAATCTGACCTCCTTATTGCTATTTTCATCGTATATTTTGGTTCCTAGATCAGTAAAAATGAACCATAAAGTTTTCGAAGTTAGAAAAATGGGGTTTCGCGATATTTTTTTAAATAATTTGTTTGTCGGATTTTGGTTTTAATAGTTTTTAAGGCCCTGTCCTCGCGATATATTTTGTAAAACCTCCTTTTTATTATTCTTAACATATTTGGGATGTTTTGAAGCCGCGACGACTATATTTAATACTCTGATTTTGAGATTAGGACGAGAAATTACCAAATATTGAATGAAATATTGCTGGAGAATGTATTGAACGTAAATGTGAGAAAATACTCGCGAAAAAATGCCGTGGTTTATTGGAATCGTTGCCAAATCACTTATAGTATGTCGTTACCCGCAATGGTAACTATAAAAAGACCAAACGTGTTCTATGTAACAATTTTTTCTAAAATAATAATAAAAAGCAAAATACTTTTTTGTGATAAACATTTTTGGGTTGTTATATATTTCGGCCGATATCTTCGACACCAATAGGTCTTTCGCTGTGATTCTTGCAGAAATACGGTCTAAATATGTCCACAAACGTACTCCATTATACATAATTCATTTTACATCTTTAGTTTGCTGGCTTTAGGCGTATAAATTGGAATTTTTTCAAATTTTTATTGAGGCAAAATATTTATTACACTCACTGTATATTATTTTTTATTAATTCATAAAATTTTGGAAATTAATTTTGAAAGAGGTTTGTGGAAGTTTTTTGGATAAAAGATAGAAGTTGGATGTTTTTTTATAAATGTTTGTCGCCAGAAACTGTTAAAAATTTTAAATTTTTTAAGGGATAAATCGAAAGAAATTTTAAGAGGGGTTTTTTAATATCCCGCATTTTGATACCTGTCTCATTTTAAGATTTTATTCACTAGTCACTAAGGAGAAGACTAAAGTCGGCGGATAGAGAGATATGTGATATTCTACAATTTTTAATATCTTAGCCGATTATTACCAACTTTTGCGGAGTTTATTCTAAGCATATCTTCCAAAGTATATTTATGTTGATCACGTTACATACAAATGACCTATACTGAGAATATTCTGCAAGGAAGATTTTTAAGCCCCAAGAAGACGAAGGCCAAAACACTGCCACATCGATCGGATTATGGGCTAGAACCAAAAATTTTTGGAAAGTGGGACAAGAATTTTATAAGAGCCCTGTGTCGAAATTGCAAAACAAAAGCTACTGCAGTTGAAAAATGTGCCAAAACAAATTAAAAAAAAACGGTCCGATCCATATATATGGGGTGGATCTATCCCAAAAGTGGGCTTATACTGAAAAATGTCGATAAAGATGTTTTTTACGCATAAGGAATGTTCAATTGCGGACAATTTCGTTGAAAAATTGGGCTAGGACATAGGGACCTTTGTATAGATGAAAAATGTGACCATGAGCTTTTATTTGAAAAAGAATTGAAAAATTAGTCCTATACTGAAACCAGTAAGTGAAGCAATATAGTCGGACGGGCCCGACCATATGATACCCTACACAATTACCACTGAATTCTAAGTTTCTGGGGATCCAAGAGTCTTGGTGATATTTCGCAGTATTTGTACCATCGTGGTCGATTAGTGGTCAACAACTCTGCAGCATATTTTCTGAATCATGTTTTCCCAGCTATTTTTTTTTTCACATAAAATTATTAGTATCAAACCAATCAAGCTTGACGGCCGGATCCCCTTCCGGGTCATAATTGTAGCCTCTGGGGCAACCACAAAATATACACGCAAAAGTCTGGGTCTATATGACCCGCTAAATATTGACTGATCTTCCTCAAAACAGTCATGGCAGTTCTTTGGCCAGATACGTTCCTTGTCTAAGGTTTTTTTTGCGTTCGGGGTCTTAATGGTAGCCTCTAGACCAGAAAAATAAAGTCGTTGGTCCATTTCAGTTCTTCTTTGGACAGAACTCTCTAGCATGCAAAATTTCGTGCCGAAATAATAGTCAGTCGGACACATATGTCTAGATCGACTCAGCTAATCGAGATCTGTGTACTAGGTGAGTCTTGGATCAATATTTCGCTGCGTTACAAACTATTGGGGTCACACAAAGCTTGAATACCATGTAGCGTATACAAATAATGTAAAGAAGTTTTTTACACTAAAAAACCGGAAACCAAAACACAGCCACTGTGGTCGGAATATGGGACTGGAACTAAAAACATTTGGAAGATGGTGCAAGATCTTTATATGGGGACCAAAACTTGAACCAATAATGACAATTTCCAGCAAAGAACATACTATTATCTAAGATGCCGGATTGTTCTATTACAGCTAAAAAAATGAAAAAAAAAAATAAAATTGGCCGGAACCTTTATATAGGGGGCTATGTCAAAACAGACTCATTCATTTTGGGAATAAGTCTTTTTACCCACCAAGTAGCCGTAATACCAAATTATATTGGTGCAAAGTTATATTCTAAGACCATAAAAGTATATAAAATGGGGCGGGACTTCTATATGGGAGGTATATCGTAACATGGACCTATACTGACAATTTTCTGCAAAAACGTATTTTTGACGAATATGTAACTAGAACCATCAACTTCGGTCGGAATATGCGACTAAAGCCATCACAAACGTAGGCACATATTGAAAATGTCTGTAAAGAATTAGTTTAACCTACAAGAACTAGGAATGGAAACAACGCCATAAGAACACGAGAATATCTGAAATGGAGCTGCACTTTTATTAGGATGCTGTAGCTAAACAGGAACCTTTAAGGGGAATTTCCACCCAAGAAGAATATACTCTCCAAGAAACCGGATTGATGAATCGCAGCCACATCGGTTGGAACATGCAGCCACTTCCCTCTAATACCTAAAATTGGCTGGAACCTTTATATGGAGGCTACGTCAAAACAGCGTCCTATATTGAAATCTTTTTCTGCGTATAATATTTTTTCTCACCAAGAAGCCGGAATACTAAATTACAGTCACACTGTTTAGAAAGTGTATTCTTTGACCTTAAACGTATATAAAATAGGCCAAACCTTCTATATGGAAGGTATATTGTAACATGGACATATCCAAAAAGTAGAAACAAAGACACTTCGGTCCGAATATGCGCATAGAACCATCAACATTTTTAAAATGATTTAGACCATTATATGAGAAGCTATACCAAAAATTGAACGTATATAGAAAATTTTCTATGAAGGTATTTTTTACCCTTCGAGAATCCGGAGGTCCAAATCTTAAAATTACAAAAAAATTATCCGATAACTTTATATGGGGGATGTGCAGAAATTTTGACTTATACTGAACATTTTCGGCGAAGAAGTTCATTAATAAAAGCACGGAATAACAAATTAACACCACTTAGATTGATAAATGAACCTACGACCTTTAAAACACATAAAATGTTACGGGACATAGGTCTCATCTTCGGAAAGTTTGGAAAATATATTAGGTTGTGCAAAGATTGGATCAAATGGATTACTATATTCGGTCGATATAAAATTAACATGTTTTAAAATGTTTTCCTTTCTGTAGGAGAGGTTCCAGCTGGAGGGGTCCAATAGATTCTAGACAACATCGGATTTAAAGTAGGTTTGTAAAAAATATTACAATGTAAAGTGTTTAGATCAATTCCAATATTCAATTATCTTTGTATTTGATTTACACATTATTAAATTGTGGACCCTTTGTGACCCACGATTCGATACTCCATTCGTTTCAAACCAGATTTACAAGACTTCAAATATTCCTTTTGTACGTAAGGTATCTAAAGGGTACCCCCCAGGTACCATGACGACCTATTATGATGTCACTTACGAAGTGTTTAATATTTCACAGTTCCTTTAACCTTATAACCGGTCTTCAAACATTAATTAAGTTTGGAACAAATATTATGATACACAGTTATTCAGGTACACCAACCAAACGAGCATTTATAAATCGCCTTCGAATTTCCTGAAGCGCATTTGGTCCATCAAAGGCACTTAGGGTTTATAACAGATATTTTTATGTGGTAAATTACAAAGTCTATTTATACCCTTATTAGTGTTAATACTGAGGATATACATATATATGTATATATATATATATATATTACATCAATTGAACTCCTAAAATATATCGTCCTCACTGAGAACTACCAGACTTCTTCATACTCCAGAAATAAAAATGCCCACACAAATTTGTTACAAAATTTGCTAACCAATCAAACTTTTGATTTCCACCTCCAACACCTTTTGGAGCACAACACAATTATTTTCAAAGCACGTGTCACTATTTCTCTATTGTTTAGGAAATTTTGCCCCCAAAGAATTTCACTACCCACTTCTTAGTTCGTGGAGATGAAAAACGACAACAAAATGCTTTTTATTTTCACAGGTTTTACCTTTTTTGAAAGGGAAACAAATAATGCAAATACGAAATTTCAAATACGAAGATTTACTTTCGTTATTTATTTCTCAAAAAACCTTCCCTCCCTCTCCTGCAATCTCCTCGTGTGAGCAAACATTCGTCAAGGACACATAGTGTCAACTGTTATGCAAAATGTCGTTCTCCGTATATACCTTTCAAGTATGTCTGGAGGCATAGAAAAGTAGCTTGAAAACCCTAATTCTATCTACGTTTTACTGTGTGTATGTATGTGTGCTTTTGTTTTGGTACTGAGCCACAATTTCCAACATTTGGTGATAGGTTTGCTGGCCTATTTTCAAAATATTTGCAAACATTTTTTGTTGTTTTGTTTTGCTTTTGGCAATTCTCCACATTAGCCGTCGTCATTGTCTTCGTCTAAAACATGTCCGCCTATCACTTGGTACAGAGAAACAAGTAAAAAATTCTTTGAATCGTCGAACTCCGATTGCCCTTTACCATGTGGTACACATTTAAAAACCTGAAATCGGTGGGGACATTTTTGGGTAGTGTGCCCCCCAAATAGAGGGCCATGAATGGAGAGGGATTACATTGATTATCCACATCGGTTAAAAAAATGGGGCGGGACCTTCATATGGGCGAAATGCCAAATTGCTACCATTGTAGCATTGAGGGATATGTCAAAATCTATACTGACAATATTTTGTGACGAAGTTTTTTACCAACCAAGAAATCGGAGCGCCAAATTACAGCTAATTCCTTTGAAAATGCGCCATGTCACATTGAAATTTATAAACTGAGGCGGGACCTATATATGAAGGCATGAAGAAGTAGAAGCAGACAATAAAAGTATCTAGCATGGGGCGGGACGTCCATATAGAGGGTGTGTCATTACGTGGACCTAATCTGAGAATTCCCATGAAGAAGTTATTGCCCTCCAAGAACCCGGAATGGAAAGTGTGTCAAAAGACAATAAAAGTATCTAACATGGGGCGGAACTTCCATATAGAGGGTGTGTCATTACGTGGACCTAATCTGAGAATTTTTCAGCAAGAAATCGGAGTGCCAATTAACAGACACTTTGGTGGGAAAAAACATGAAAATTTCTAAAAACATGAAAATTTCTAAAATGGGATGGAGCCTCTATATGAGGCTTTGTCAAAACTTGGACGTATATTGAAATATTTTTGCAAATAATCCTCATTACCCAAAAAGAAACTGGAATACCAATTACAGTCACTTTGGTTGGAAAATGTGACCTAAGATCATAGAAGAAGGGGCGGAACTAGTATATGGAGGTATTTTCTTTTTTTAAATGTACCTATTCTGAGAAATTTTCCACAAATAAGTTCTTTACCCTCTAAGAAGCCGGAGTACCAAAGTACAGCCACTTTGATCGGAATATGAGCCTAGAACTTTAAAAAATTATAAGTCAAAACGTGGTGCTATATTGAAATCTTTTTGAGATATGTTTTATTCCACCAAGAACCAATTCGGTTGGAAAGCGTACCCTGTCCATAATAGTATGTAAAATGTGATGGACTTCTATATGGAGGATATATCATAACATGCACTTATTCTGAGAATGTGCCTGCAAAGATGTTATATGTCCTCCAAGAAGTCCATATGCAAAATTACATGCTCTTTGGTCGTAATCGACCATGAAAATGGTGGCTATTTTAAAATATGGACCAATATTGACATCTTTTTGCGAATAAACTTGATTCCCGCTAAGAAATGGGAATGCCAAATTACAGATATTCCCTCCTAAAACAGCCTAAAATCTCCAATAAACCTGAAATGCCTTCAAAAATCGAACATGGCACGACACCATTAAATGGAGTCAAACTTCAATAGACGGACATACAGACTGGCATTGCTTAATAGATTTTTATTTTGAAATCTCCGCCGAAAATTTCTCCAATATTGCAAACCGTCATGAGTGAATTTAAAATATACCCTCCACCATATAGGGTAGAGGGTATAACCAAAAAAAACACATGACCATCACCTGGTGTAAAATGTTGACAATCAAAGGATTCCACATATGAAAGTCATTGTTTTACACAATTGTGTATGTCTGTGTGTGTGGCAAGGATGTGACAAGAATGTGTTCTCTTCTACTGTCACAAACACCATCCCCCACCCCACTTCGCCTTACTCTTCCTCTAAATACCACACCACACCAAATGAAATGAAAACGACAGCAAACAAAATATCACACAAAAATTAGGCAATTTTCACATTCTACGGCTGCAGTAAACCTTTCTTGGCCGGTGAGGTTGGAAAAATTTTCCTGCTGAAACTATGAAAAGCCAAAACACTTCAACAAGCAGTTTGGAAAAATATATAACCTTAACCTTTAGGCTAAATATTTATAGAGGACTAAATGAAGGCAAACACAATTTTAAATATTTAATAAAGCGGCATTGAAATTAAAAATTTGCTTGTCAACCTGGTGAGTGTGTGTAAGAGGATGTGTGTGTGTTTGTGTGCAAAATAAAAGAATGGAGATAAAAAATGCATAGTCATCATCATCATCATCAACATGGCCTTGTTTGGTCAGACAGGTAAATTGTGATTGTTGACTGGCTACTTGGCTGGTTGGCTGCCTGGCGTATACGTGTTATGAACAGAAAGATATATTTAATATAGATCATACGCCTGCTGCTGGGGAAGATATGATGATAGGATGAAGAGATACAAAAATAAAACCAGTAAGGAAAGTAGTAAAGTCGGACGGGCCGACTACATGATACCCTTCACCACTTGGGTATACTGGACATATGTATCCTTACAATTCAATATATTTAGAGTGCGTACCATGGGACAAAGTTATGGAAGTTCACGCTGTTCTGTATGCCGCACTGGTAAAAATTTAATATCAATGAAACACCCTTTCGAAGTACATATGGAAGCTATGGCTAGATCTGCAATAATTTCAACAAAACCCAATAACGTCTTTCAAGTCTCAATTTGATATGTTGTGCAAAATTTCATTTTAATCGGACAAAAATTAGGAGCTTGGTGCACCATTTATGTAATATCGGGCGAAAATATATTTGGGAGTTATATCGAAATCTGAACCGATTTTCAGGAAACTTAGCACACATCATTCTAGGTGCCAAATTTCGGGCAAATCGAAAGATATTTAGGGACTTTGGTGCACCATTTACCTTAAATCGGACGTAAATATATATGGGAGCTATATCTAAATCTGAACAGATTTTCACGTAACTGAGCACACATAATTCAAGGCTCAATTCAGTACGCTGTACCAAATTTCGTGCAAATCGAAAGATATTTAGGGACTTTGGTGCACCATTTACATTAAATCGGACGATAATATATATAGGAACTATATCTAAATCTGAACCGATTTTCAGAAAACTTAACACTGAAGGGTATAAAAACGGTTGTACCAAATTCTGAAAATATAATTTATATTCAGATATCATTGGCATATCAAGAGTAAACTGTTAACAAGTAACAACTTCGTTAAATTCGGACGGACCCAACTTGTTATACCCTCCACCGGGTTGTGTGTATTCAAAATTCCTTAAATCGGTTTGGACCTTTATACTGGGACTATATCATTGCAGTATATGGTAGTAGATTGTTTATGCTCAATGTGAAAATGCAACTAAAACTGACAAAATATTGATAAAAGTTGGTAGGAAGATTTTACAAAACCCAAAATATCGAATAATGGGTGGTAACGTTATATGAGAACAATCCGGAAACTTGGATATATACTGTTAATTTTCCACAGGGAGATTTTCTACACAATTAGAATCCAAAATATAACATTGCAACCAAGTTGGTTGAAACATCTTCCCAAACTCCCCAAAAACCCGAAATGTAGGATCTACTTTCAAATGTGGACCAATCACCAATCGAATCTCTGAAGGTCCTTGAAATAAGATTGGTTTAATAAAACTACACCTTCGAAGTAATTCAAAAAATATTCTTAAATAATCTACGCAAATACATAGCTGTGGTAATCCTTGATAAATATTTTTAAAAGGTCCCCTTCTATAAGATTCATCAACGCCCAGACGAAAAGGCTGAAGCTAGAATCTTGAAATTTTAGGTGAGTGTCATTCTTGGTACAAAGGTGTCGTCAGATAAGGCTGAGTTTTTGGATATTCGTACTAGAACGGTACGAAAAGTACTAAATGTGGTATCATGTGTATTTGGCGAACCGGTAGAGCTAGAACTCTTAAATTTGACATGAGGGTCACTGATGGAGTGTAGAATAGATATAGAAAATAGATATAGCTTTTTGGAAATTTTAACTATAAGTATGTGAAAAGTACTAAAATGTACTAAATATGGTACAATTTCATAGCATGTGAATGGATAGAGCTTAAAACTAGAAATTTTTGAATGCTAATTAGAATTGAGATGTAGGGTTTATCTCTAAGGAGATGGTTTTGAAAGCGTGTACTCATGTGTACGAAAACTACTATATGGTACGATATTTGGTACACATTTCATTTGGAGATACAAATCGAGCTGGAATACTGGAATTTGAAATCCTAAAATCGAAATGTAGGATTGGGATATGTACGAAGTTTTGGAAATTTGTTACTTATGTGTACGAAAAGTACTAAATCGTACTATAACTGGTACAATTTAGATTTGGGCGAAGAATTGGGCTCAGGATTCATTTTAAAAAATTAATACTTATGGGTACTAAATGGTACTAAATTTGGTACAATTTGAATTTTAGGTGAACCAATAGAGCTAGAATCATACAATTTGGAGTCAGTATCACTGTTGAGGTGTATGATTAAGATATGTAGGGTGTTCTAGAAATTTGTACTCATGTGTACTAAATTTGTAACAATTTGAATAGTGGAAATTGGATTTAGGATCAGTGTGGAGGTGTAGGATTGGAAATGTAGAAAGTTTTGGAAATTGGTACTACTGTGTACTAAATTTGGTACAATTTGAATAGTGGGTGAACCGACAGAGTTGGAATCCTGAAATTTAGATTTAGGATCAGTGTGGGGGCGTAGGATTGGAGCATGTAGGATGTTTTGGAAATTGGTACTACTGTGTACTAAATTTAATAGAGTTGGAATCCTGTAACTTGGATTTGGAATCACTGTGGAGGTGTACGGTTGGATTATGTAGAAAGTTTTTGAAATTGATACTACTGTGTACTAAATTTGGTGCAATTCGAATTGTGGGTGAACCGATAAAGTTGGAATCCAACAACTTGGATTTAGGATCACTGTGGAGGTGTAGGATTGAGATACATAGGAAGTTATGGAAATTGGTACTACTGTGTACTAAATTTGGTACAATTTGAATAGTGGGTGAACCGATAGAGTTAGAATCCTGAAATTTTGATTTATGAACACTGTAGTGGTGTAGAATTGGAGTATATAGAATGTTTTGGAAATTCGTACTACTGTGTACTAAATTTAATACAATTTGGAGCGATAGCAATTGTAGGTGTGTGGATTAATTATCCATCGCTACAACAAAAATCTGCTTTGAAAAGGACTGTTCCTAGAATGGAGACAAATGTCGAACTTTGACCAATTTGAATTTAATTCGCATATGCAAGTTTCGCATCAGGGCGGAATAAATACAAGTTATCAACATACGATCTTTATAAAGCCACATAGCCCAATATGCCTGATGAGCCGTTTAACCAACGGCGAAATAATGGTGGGTACGTAGGTTCTTCTCCTGGCTTTCCTTTTCATTGCAAAACTTAAAAAAATGTTAATACATGTTTAAAAATTTTCCCACATTCGCTAACGAAGTAGCGGGCATATGCTAGTAGATACATAAATGTCTATATTTCACTATATTAAAATTAATTAATCAAGTTTCCCATTAATAAAGTATTAATAGTCCAGGACATTGATTGACGATTGACACGATTCAATAGTTTTTTTTTTTTCTTAATTTAAATTAATCATACACCGCTACTTCGATAGGCATTATACTTGTTTTAATTACCCCAACATTATTGCTTATTAATTAATAACAATGACATTGTTAACAAATTAATTAGTTGAATATAAACTCAAACCGCGTTATGTAATCGAACTTACCTTGTAAAGACTATACAGTGAGAGAAGGCAATACGAGACGAGATAATCAATTTACTCCATTTGGGGGAAAACAAAAAGTGGTGGCCACTACAAAGGGTGGAGAACCTGTAAAGAGGAAAACAGAAAAAACACAGATTAATTTAACAAGATTTACTAATATAGTAGTCTTGAAAAAAATATTCTTTAAAAAATCCACGCCTTTTATAGTCGTGGAAAAAATATTCTTTAAAAAATCCAGGCCTATTATAGTCCTTCAGAAAATAGTTTGAAGAATCTACGCCCATTATCGTCAAATCAGCGCCTATTTTAGTCCTTGAAAAAATATTTGTAAATATTCTTAAAAAATCAGCCTATTATAGGCCTTGAAAATACCTCGAATGTTAAAATTATTTATTTTTATAATGGATATGTATTTATATAAAAAAGAAGATTGCTATTAATAAATTTAATAATAACCAAAATACCTACTCTCTTTCTATAAAATATTAATAACCCCATATTACTTATCTACCACGTCCTTAAATACCCTTATTTGTAGCGATAAAGTTTAAATGGTTATTAGTTTTTTTTTTAATATTTGTCTTCTACTACCCACTTATTTCATTCTCTATTTCTCTCTCCCCATCTCTTTTTCGTTACAGCCATACCAATAGTTTATATATTGGCCATTGTTCCTGGCCTAATGCCATGGGAAAGTGGCTATCGTTTCCTTTCCTTTTGCCATGTCTTTGGCTCGGTAGCACCATGGTGTGGCAGTTTTGTCTATCATCTATTCATGAACATTGAACGAGGTGAAAATGTCTACTATACCCTGCTGAAATTGGATATGGTCGGAATATGGGTCAGCCAGAGTTTCGGTAAGTTTTTATATATACTGGGTGCTATCGAAGAGCAAAGAGTTTGTGTGTATATTTGTATTTAGCTAGAATGAGGAAATAAAACCAAGGAAGCAAACAAAAAAAAAAAACAGCTCACAAAGAAACTAACAACAACCACAATAAAAGTAAATACTTAAATTGTCAGTTTTTGGTCATTTCCTTTTTGGCCACTTATTCTTTGTACTGCTTTAGTTTTATTTGTTTGTTTGTCTGTTTATTTTTGTTGGATAGATTTTGTTTTTTTTTTGTTGGCCTAATGTTGCGGATATCTTAAATTTGTTTTATTTACCAGCAAAAGTTTGCAAGGTAAACGAAGGTGTATTTTTTCAGAAGTTTCGTCATTACGTTACTCAATGTGTCAAAGGAAATGTTGAAGGACACAGAAAAAGTAACAAAAATAGTCATTGATTTTTTAATACTCTATATGTTTATATTTAAATATTTGACAAACGTCCAGGCAATTATAGTCCTTAAAAATAGAGGCTTTTGCTGGACCTATTCCTTCAAAATTAAAGCATAAGTTGGTTCGTAAAAAATTATTATTAAAAAAATTCTGGCTAAACCTTTGTGGGACCTTGGCCCTTGAAAACACTCTTTATGGGACCTTGGCCCTTGAAAACATTCTTTTAAAAAATTCTGGCTAAGCCTTTGTGGGACCATGGCCCTTGAAAACATTTTTTTAAAAAATTCTGGCTAAGCCTTTGTGGGACCATGGCCCTTGAAAACATTTTTTTAAAAAATTCTGGCTAAGCCTTTGTGGGACCTTGGCCCTTGAAAACATTATTTTAATAATTCTGGCTAAGCCTTTGTGGGACCTTGGCCCTTGAAAACATTATTTTAATAATTCTGGCTAAGCCTTTGTGGGACCTTGGCCCTTGAAAACATTCTTTTAAAAATCCACGCCTATTTACAGGTCTAGAAAAAATATTCTTTAAAAAATCCACGCCTATTTACAGGCCTAGAAAAAATATTATTTAAAAAATCCACGCCTATTTACAGGCCTAGAAAAAATATTCTTTAAAAAATCCACGCCTATTTACAGGCCTAGAAAAAATATTCTTTAAAAAATCCACGCCTATTTACAGGCCTAGAAAAAATATTCTTTAAAAAATCCACGCCTATTTACAGGCCTAGAAAAAATATTCTTTAAAAAATCCACGCCTATTTACAGGCCTAGAAAAAATATTCTTTAAAAAATCCACGCCTATTTACAGGCCTAGAAAAAATATTCTTTAAAAAACCCACGCCTATTTACAGGCCTAGAAAAAATATTCTTTAAAAAATCCAAGCCTGTTATAAAAATATTAAAAAAAAATCCGCGCCTATTTTGTTCCTTGAAAAACATTAAAATAAAATGTCTCTTTGAAAATCCACGCATTTATAGTCCTTAAAAAAATCTTTAAATATCCATGTATCTTATGTTCCTTGAAATTATTTGCAAAATTTGCAAAATCTACCCTCTTTAGGTTCTCCACTCTTTGCTATAAAAAAACAATTCTAAAAATAAAGGCATGTGGTCGAACGCCAACCACAACTATATATATAATATTTCATATTTTTACATTGACCCTAAATAATATTTAATATACATTTACTCGTTCGATATCAATTGGACGATAAATCATTAAAAATCTCTATGACAACAGAATAATAAAAATAGTATCATTGAATTCGGAATTTGTTGTTGAATAACCAACCCAGCTGCTGGATGTGGCGAGTAAAGCTGTTGCAGATGTCACAAACAAAGATTGTGGCCAATTTAATAACATGAATCCGGATGAAAAATAGATGCCAAAGAAGGTTATTTATACGTAGTAAGTAACACACATATATATATATATATATATATACATATTTATATTTGTGTGTTCATATCGGCATTTAGAAACACATCGCATATGTATTCGATACAATCCTTGTATCCTACAACAGCTACACACATATAACAAATGCTAAATTCAAACGGTCACCAACAATGTTATAATCCTTTATAGATTATATGTTGGTACTCAGTATGGGTCCATTGTTAAATATTTAAATCATTGAATAGAAAACTGATATACTATTATCAATGTGTATTTACTATTACGTCCGGTGATGTTTATATAATAAATATGTTTAATATTATTGTGGATTATTTCATTAAAATAATGTAGAATGAAATATTCAATGAAACATCCACGACTATTATAGTCCTCGAAAATATATTCTTTAAAAAATCCAGACCTCTGATGGTCCTTGAAAAAATATTCTTTAAAAATCTAAATGATAAGCATATTATAGTCCTTAAAGAAATATTCTTTCAAACTCCACCCCTCTTATGACCCTAGAAAAAGATACGTCTATTATAATCCTTAAAAATATTATATAAAAACTCCACACCTATTATAGTGCTTCAAAAATATCCTTCAAAAACTCAACGACTCTTATGGCTCTGGAATTAATATTTCATTTTAAATCGTAGCCTCTTATAGCCCTAGAAAAAATATTCCTTAAAAATCCAAGAAATATTTTTTTAAATCTATGCATTTTATGGCCCTAGAAAAAATATATTTTTTTATATCTAAGTCTCTTATGGCCCTAGGAAAAATATATCTTTTTTTGTGTCTAAGTCTCCTATGGCCCTAGGAAAAATATATCTTTTTTGTGTCTAAGTCTCTTATGGCCCCATAAAAAGTATTCCTTTAAAAATCCACGCCTGTGATAGTCCTCGAAAAAAGTTGTTTTAAAAATCCACGCCTGTGATAGCCCCCGAAAAAAGTTATTTTAAAAATCCACGCCTGTGATAGTCCTCGAAAAAAGTTATTTTAAAAATCCACGCCTCTGATAGTCCTCGAAAAAAGTTATTTTAAAAATCCACGCCTCTGATAGTCCTCGAAAAAAGTTATTTTAAAAATCCACGCCTCTGATAGTCCTCGAAAAAAGTTATTTTAAAAATCCACGCCTCTGATAGTCCTCGAAAAAAGTTATTTTAAAAATCCACGCCTCTGATAGTCCTCGAAAAAAGTTATTTTAAAAATCCACGCCTCTGATAGTCCTCGAAAAAAGTTATTTTAAAAATCCACGCCTCTGATAGTCCTCGAAAAAAGTTATTTTAAAAATCCACGCCTCTGATAGTCCTCGAAAAAAGTTATTTTAAAAATCCACGCCTCTGATAGTCCTCGAAAAAAGTTATTTTAAAAATCCCCGCCTCTGATAGTCATCGAAAAAATTATTAACAAAATAATTTCAACTTTTAACAAGGATTTGTCTTCATATCCTTTTGGGAATTTCTTCTTTATTAACACGTACACGCATAATGTGATGTCACGGTTTGCAAAACCGCATTTTTATTTTCTCATAATGACAATTTTCATTGTTGTCGTTACAACAAACAAAATTTTTGGAACAATACATACACACACACACAGACAAGGAGTTATGTTGAACATGTGGTTGATAAAATTGTGTCGCACACATTTCAAATTTGTCAAAATACAAAAGAAAAAAAAAACAGCAAGACAAACATGAACAATAAAATTAATTTTTACACACACACACATAGATATATCTCTATTATGGTTGTGGCGAAAACCACGTTTATATAATCATGTAGCTTATGTAATTTTGTAACAAATCCTATGTAACATTTTTAAGTCAATTAAACCAGCTGATGAATATTCAAGTTCTTAATATCCATTAATGCTTATCATGAACAAAATAATGTTCCGTTTTTATGAAAAGAATTTTCATTATCTGGCTTATTTATTATTTAAATGTTACGAATTAGGATTTATTAATGATCCTATAAGTAGGTTTTTTAGGGATTTTTAATATTTGATGAAAATGTATAGTAATGACGATACGTTTATTAAGATTTTATAGATATGTGATGGAATGTAAAAATCCATATTTTAAAAATCCACGCCTCTGATAGTCCTCGAAAAAAAATATTTTAAAAAATCCACGCCTCTGATAGTCCTCGAAAAAAAATATTTTAAAAAATCCACGCCTCTGATAGTCCTCGAAAAAAGTTATTTTAAAAATCCACGCCTCTGATAGTCCTCGAAAAACAAATATTTTAAAAAATCCACGCCTCTGATAGTCCTCGAAAAAAAAATATTTTAAAAAATCCACGCCTCTGATAGTCCTCGAAAAAAAAATATTTTAAAAAATCCACGCCTCTGATAGTCCTCGAAAAAAAATATTTTAAAAAATCCACGCCTCTCATAGTCCTCGAAAAAATATTTTAAAAAATCCACGCCTATGATAGTCCTCGAAAAAAAATATTTTATAAAATCCACGCCTCTGATAGTTCTCGAAAAAAAATATTTTAAAAAATCCACGCCTCTGATAGTCCTCGAAAAAAAATATTTTACAAAAACCACGCCTATTGTAGTCCTCGAAAAAAAATATTTTAAAAAATCCACGCCTCTGATAGTCATCAAAAAATTTTTTTATAAATCCCCGCCTATTACTTAGCTGACTTGTGACAGAACTTTCGTTCCATAAGCCGAGCTTAAAAAAGATTTCCAGGCGCGTCGGTCTTTTGCGCAGTTTTTCCAATTTCAAAGACCATATTCGGCAATGTTGTCTTCCACCTGGTCTTTCCATCTTATTCGTGACCTTCCCCTTCTGCGTGAACTTTTATATACCTTCTGGGCTGGGGCATCTTCATTCATTCTCACAACATGACCTAGCCAACGTAATCGCTGCAGCTCAATACGTCTAACAATGTCAATGTCCGAGAATAGCTGGTACAACTAGTGGTTCATTCGACGGCGATATTCACCGTCAACGCAGATCGGCCCACAGATTTTTCGGAGAATTTTTCTCTCAAATACTCCAAGAGCTGCCCCATCTGCTTGCGCAAGTACCCATGCTTCAGATCCATATAACAGCACGGGTAGTATCAGCGTCTTGTAGAGTGTAAGTTTGGTCTGGCGGGAGGTGGCCTTGCTTTTGAGTTGTTTGCTCAGACCATACCGATGCTACGGTTA